AAAGTCTCTTTATTGTTGTTGGCTATCACTGTACCTTAATCTTCCACCAGTCTAAAAACGCTAAATAATATATTTAGTTGAGCGTCGTGCTCGATTTCACGGGCCCTTTCTGAAACCTAAATTGCATCAATACAAAGAATATCTGTCCAGCTTGCATCAAATACCCGCTTGTACTGCCTGGTTAAGCTTGTAATAAACTGACTGTTAACCACTTCGCATACCAAACTCGCTACTTTGTGTTACAATTTGAATATTTAATAAAAATATTCAAGCTGTAGCATTTTTTTTTTTGCATTGAAGTGTGTTCATTTTGTGCTAATTCAGAATCAGTCATTAGACACTCGAATCTGTGCCTTTTATGGTTATAGCCTTTGGATATAACGATGCGTCGCAAGACGCCTTGCTGTTGTTGTTGTTGACGGCGGTATTTTTATTTGATACTTAAACGATGATTTCAGGATGGTTAAACGTAGATTAGGCGTTAAGTTGATAAACGTTTCTTTACGGGCCTACTTATAGTAACCATAATTGACACCTCTCATGTTGTGCTGTTATCTTACCGCTGCATGTAAAACCTTATTCTACGCCCTTGTCGGCAACGCGTCTACCTATTAAGAAGTATCAGAATGTGGTTGTCTAAAAACCCGCTTAGAAAACAATGGTCAAGTTCAATTCGCTTACAGTAGTAATTGTCATCAGCACATATAACTTCTTTTGTTCACACGTCAATCTAAAACTATCTATCTTTGTGAATCAAGTGACAACGTTTATAAGCACAGCTTTGTTCTTACGACCAGACCGGCTACTGCTGTACATGTAACATATACGATTTAGCAATACCAGAAACCCACTCAGATAACTTATTAATGCTAATATTTTTACAATAAAAGAATTGAAATTATCATTTTAGTCAGTGTAACACGCAGATCCTACTGAGTACAGAGAGTTTAGTATACTTAAACCATGTCCTCGGAAACACGCATGCTTACGTGTACGATAGGCACCCTGCCCTCCGTTTAGTACTCAAATATCAATAGCAACATGCATTATAAAAAAGTATATAATATTTAAACGATGCCTTTGGATAATGTACAGCCTTGTGCAAATCCCCATATGTAAACTGGGAAACACATGAATTTATTGATGCAACAACACAATCTAGTTTTAACCAATTAAAGCCACCTTCGCTGCGCTTAGAAATATTTAAATCATTTTATCCAATGATTTGTCCGGAAAAGCGTGACAGGCACGACAATTTAGTGTGACGGACAGACAGGTTGCTGCAGTAGATGTTTAAGATGGAGACTGTGTGGCGGACACCAAGTGCACCACAAAATTTGTGATCTACTTTAATTTTATAAAAGTATATCCGGATAATCAAACATATATCCGGATATAGATCTGACTCGATCCTGGAATGGCTTCACAACGCAATAAAGAACCCTCATACCATCCATGACAGTCACTGCCCACGGATTCCGCTGTTACATAACGTAATTACATGTATCCAACTCACCTGTGAGCATGTCAGGCCAAGAACGCAGTCGCCACTCTTGAATTTGCTGCTCTTCGGTCACTTTCTCTACCACGATTCTGCTCGGGACTCGAGTGCAGGCTCCTGCAATGGTGTCGTCTGCTGCGCTGAGCATCGAAGCTTCAGTAAGAGAGAACAAGTTCTCGTCCATGGACACAAGAGACGACGTCAAGTCTCGTTGGTTCAAGACTCGCCAACTGCTGCAGAGTATCCAAAACTCCCCTTTCTGGTCGCATCGATGGCTCGGTTGGGCTTTCGTCTACGTCTCGGTATTACTAGTCTTCCTTGTGGATCGCTCAGTCGGACTATCGGCGCTCATCGAGATGTACGGAAGTGACAAGGACCACACGCTAGGAGTGACGCTTGGAGCACTGGGTCTGGGTATGCTTGAGGACTGGATCTGCGCCACGTACCTCGTCGCCGTGCTGTGGCTCATCGACTTCTTCCTAAGCCAGACCCTTGGCGCCTCCTCTGATAGTATGACGCTCCAGACTTTCATCAAGTGGAAGCGGCAGCGAATTCTTCGTCGTGGAGTCACGTTCGTGACTTCGTGGCTTCTCTTCGTGGCCACCGCAGCTCCGTTCGCTGTAGACATGATGCTGGTTCGTCTTCGTAGCATGCGTTTCACCTTCGAGATCGTGTCGATGGCCATTGCAGAGAGCGACATGGTCAGTAGCGTAGCCATCTCCGACTCTGATTTCAAAGAGGGCTTACATTACAGGCACAGTGCTCGCTCTATTTGCCACGTTCTTCGGCTTCACTTCCGCACATGGACGTCATGGCCAGATCCTCACACGCTGGAACCCGACAACACCCTTTACTGCATCTCGGAAGGAGAATCTGGCTTACCCCTCCAAGAAAGACGACGAAGATCTGGACGCCAAAAGAGGAAAATAACATCATGGTTTCTGCCTTCATCTAACTGACAGCTAACCAAGACCGTGACCCGAAATGGTACCTGGGAGAACCGGAAGATTTGGTTCAATAGGTAGAATACAGCAGCTCCACAATCGGAAAGTACAGGGCGTAA